ATAATAAAATGCAAAATTCAGATTATTGTTTTTCCATTCCTGAATCATTATGACAATTTCAAAAATCTCTGCGAATGTTGAATGCCCTCTTTAAATGAAATGATATCATTCAGATTACTGCACACTAATGGGTTCACTGATGATGAAATAAATCAGCAAAAAACGGTAATCTACAACAATATAGTACAGGGAATGGCTTCTATTCTGAGGGGCATGAAAAAACTTGATATTCCATTTGAGAATTCTGAACGAGATGTACGTCTTCATAATTAAAACTTTTTCAAAAAACATAAATATCATTTCANTGAAACTTTTAATGATTATATAAAATTAATAGCAAATATTATGAAGTAAAGCATTTTTCAGCAGTAAACGTAGCAATACATTTATTTGTTTTTTTTATTTTTTTTTCTTATATGCAGTTGTTCATTAATAGACCAAATGTTTCAACTAATTTTGTTTAACATGGGAAATTTTATACCCATTAGAGGTTTTAAATGTGTAGAATGTACATTTGTGCGCATGTTGCTATATTGCTTTGTATGTAAAAAATTAAATTGTAAATTCTGAGAGGCTAACAGAGTTTTTTGAATGGAGCGAACAGATATTTTACGTCACATGCTTTCATTTGTTCTCATTTGACCTCAGAATGAGATTTTGTGCAATATCTGCGATAGAATAGAAAGAATTTTAATGAGTGGAATTTTTGCTCAAATTGTACAATATTTTAATTGTGATTTATACTTTTGCATCACTTCTTTACTGCTTCTGAATCTTAATTGTTTATAAATGTTATCATCAATTTTATCATTTATAAATTATAATTATATAAAGCAAATATCAGTGCTGCATAATGCTGTATTGATGAAAATTTGAATTACCACGGATTTCATTATCAGTGCTCATTCATTATCAGTGCTTCTTTACCTGAAAGAATGAGTTCAGCGAATTCATCACTTATGAGACGTTTGATGAATTCTCCGAATCTATGATCTTATCACTAATTCATGCAGTATTAAACTCTTTTGCTTCATACAAATGAAGAGCTTTCCGATTTGTTCGTTTGTTTTTTAGATCTCCCATTTAAAATGGGAGATCATTGTTTTTTTAAAATGAATTCATGAAGCACTTATCGTCATGAATTACAATATATTTTAATTTTTATAGAATTTGTGAGTGAAACTAATTAGCATTTAAAATGCTCGACAACATTTAACTTCCAATCTCTGCCATGAAAGTATCAAGGCGGATTACTGTTGTGATAGAAATGAAAATTGAGAGAAATCACAATAATTTGAGATGAAAACTGGAATTGATATCATTAATGATATAAATTTCTTGTATAGAGATGATTTGTTATTTGAAGAGTGGATGAGATTAAAATGGAATTAGTCAAGATTGATACGAATTTCAGGAAGTGATGCCTTATCTTCTGCAAAATCACGGACAGTGTTTGCAACAGAGTAGTAGGGTCACCGTGGAAGTAATTATAGAGTTTACTTTGGTTATATAAGTTAAGCTTATTCGCCATTCTAAATAACTTCAGTAGTAAATGAATTCATGAAGCACTTATCGTCATGAATTACAATATATTTTAATTTTTATAGAATTTTTGAGTGAAACTAATTAATGTTTGAAGGAAAAGGAAACTTTTTCACTGATTGGACGAGAAACATTCCTGTCATGATCATTTAATGATGGTATATATTGGATCGATAAATTATATCTTTCGGTCATTTGGTCACCTGATGCAAGAGCTACATTTTTAAAAAAAAAAAAAAAAACTTTATACCTCTCACTTTTTCATACAAAACTTTTCACTGCTAGTATTGAATAAAATAGTGAGGGACTATTGTTTGACAGTAGTCTGATATCTGACTTTATGCATAGCCTACTTGAAGATTAGCGTCAAACTTCTCCTATTTGGATTTCAAATCCTCAAAATTAGATCTTAATATTATTGTGTAATTTTTTACGTTGTAGTAATTCATTTACTATGAGGAATATTTTTTGTCTCTTTGAAAATGCTATTTAGAATAGCTATTGGAGAATTGCATGCTTAACGGAATGATGCTAAGTATAGCTCTAATTACGCTACGCAAAGTAGTGAAGTGTTGTATATATTGAGAACATAAAGAATCTGAATTCAATACAGGCATTGATCTGTATGATTTTTATTCTAAAACCAAGTTTTTTAATCAGTCAGAGACTAACAGTACTGACACTCCTACATAAAGTAATTTTAATTCTAATTTCATATGATGATTTTGATTGCTATAGCATTTGAATCCATTTATTCATAAAATTTAACACAAACAATGGAAATTAGCAGATATACCCATCCTATCATATCATATTTCGAACTGTTTGGTTGCTTCCGTTTGTGTTGGATCCGTTCTCGCTTTATCATGACCTTTTCGAGCTGATGAATCGATATTCTACCCAATAAAATTAACATCTTCAATTTTTGCATAACAAATTTTTTGATATTTGTCAGATAAATTATCAAATAATAAAGGATCTATGTGTATCTTCATGCCCTTTTATTTACTGAGCAAAATTACTTTTGTTTTTGTTCTTTTACCATCGTTTCAGCTATGCAATGCCGAATTTAAAAAATTTGAGGAATTCAAAGTATAAACTTAGGGATTAAAATGATGGATACTATTATTATTGGAAGGAATTCCTAACATCCATATCTTATATCTGGGGATTACATCACCCATCTTCCATCTTCATCATTCAGGTATTCTTTAGGTTAGCATTTGGGTTATGGCATTTGTGATGTAGTACCGGAGTATCCTGGAAGAAATCAAAATATAGAGATGATAATGAGACAGGAAAAACGATACTTCAATCCCTCCAATAGGCTCTTCCCATTGCTTCTCTTGCAAGTCTTTCATAATTCTCGAGCCTGATTGGCTGTGTACATTTTTTCTTGACATTCTCTGTCTCTCCAAACTACTTTGTGTTGATTCTTCTTTATCATCTTTTTTACATCTTTCACTTTTTCCTTTAGTTTTCTAAAAATAACTTTGCTATTTGTTTGGTCACTATGCTATTCCTTGTTATTCTTTGCTAATTCTCATGAATAAATTGGAGAGAGAACGAAAGGATAGAGGTCGTACATGTACAATATGTCGTATTGTGTCATCGAAATTTTAGGAACTCAAAGTCAACGAGGTCGGAAAGAACAGATCACAATCAATTTGATGTTAAATGGTATTTAGTCATAAAATTTAGCCCTCAGACGTTATGTTTTTCGTGCGATCGTACATTGATGAGATAGGATTGCCACGTTGTGTTTATTTAAAAAACGAATGAGAATATGTTCCTTTTGAATCTTTTTTTAAAATTTACCTATGGATGAAGGTTAGTTCATATATTGTGCAAGGAATATATGAAGGAGATTAACTGATGGAACAGAAAAGCAGAAGAATATATAATATTCCTATATAATTGCAAGAGAGTTGCGGAAATGTCGAGGATTGTTACTTTAACGATAACTTGAAGAACGTTGTTGGAAACCAGTTGTGGTGATGCATTCGTTGTTATCGGTACTTCATTTCCGATACCGACATCATCAAACTGCATATCCAAGTCAACATCCACCTCTTCTTGCTGTTTTCCGGACAAGTCTAATTTGAATTTTCGTACCTTCAACACTTCCTCTTCCTCATCATATTTTATCAATATTTAAAAAACGAAAAATTTTTGTCGTTCGAATTCAATATCAAAGTTAAAAAAAACCTTTGCCCAATTTTTTTGTCCATATTGATTTTTCATTTTTTCAAATTATCATTAATCAACACTTTTTTTAGGGTAAATATTCGAATTGTTCAATTTACTTCAGGCATTGAAACAATATTTGAAGCTTTTGTTAAATCTTTCCCTTCACTTTTTCGGCGTGCACACATTATCACCAACCAAATCATTACTGCTGTCACAATCACCATTTGCAACAACTGGAAAAATCGGAAAAAATCTTCTAATTGTGGCCAAATGCAGTTTTTGACAATTAATTTTCAAATTAAGGACAGATGTTTTAACTTTCAAATCTGTTGTTAAATTGTTACAAAAATGAATGCCGAAGTTATTTGAAGCACTTTTTTTCGTCATTGGTTAACAAATCAATAAGCAAATGTCAATTCAAATTTGCAAGATCGATTAATTCTAATGAAATGTTTGCTTAAAACTTTAAACTAATGAAAAAAAAAACTTTTAACTTTTTTATCTGTTAAAAATAAAGTTCTTTATTTCAGTCACCTGTGAGTAAATGTAAGCATTAGACGATTCCATAGATTTAACATTGCATTTCTTTCAGGTACTATTCACCACAAACAATTTCCTAAACAATAGCTAAGTGGTGGTTGCTTAGAAGCTTTTATGTCCTTTTATGAATGAGCTGTAAAACTGATGTTTCATTTATTCATCCATTTATGCATATGAAAATTTTCAATTTCTTTTTATTTCAATGAAAGGATTAAATATTGAGCTTATCATCACTTAAAGCAGTAATATCGCTATTATCAGATATGATACAATACTTGAAAGATCTT